GTTTCACCGTTGTTTTTCTGTTCCTTTCCCCCCCCCCCTTAAAATTTAGTCTCCTCATTGCCATCAAGCTTGTCTCGCAACATGACATCCCTAATGACTTTCACACTAGATCATTTTTAATAAGAATTGTGGTCTTGGAATTTTGGATTCCTATACATCAAATACATTCAACTGCAGAATGTCGCGGGCGGTTCAACTCGATAATCCCGGTGCTGCGGGAATTTGGCCTCTATGAGTGATCGTTTATACGAAGTTATACTTAAGATAGTACCGCTGTCTACTGCAGTTTTTTTTTGCGTTAACCTAGCTATGAGTGGTGTTTATCGTTCAGAATTACACTTTTGTAGAAATACAACGAAAATTAAAAATGCGCTGCGGGAATGATTGGTATCTTTCCACAAGATCTTGCTGCATGGCTTCACAAAAAACTGGATCTTCGTCATCAACTTGCCGACTTGGTGCACACATTGATGACTCACAATCCATGTACGGTACGTCAGTACAAATTTCGTGTACATGTAAACCCGCAACATCTAACAATAAATGACAAGTCTTTATCCTTTTTTCCAGATTCTTTTTTGATTCGACCTTCGAACTTTGCACGATGAGCCTATCCAGCAGGATTCAATCTGCAGATGATTAGCATTCTGGAAGAATGCTGGCAATCTTAACTGAGATAGGTGGCCAAGCAGTAAATTTGTTCAATTTAGAGGGTATCATCCAGTGAAGGGGGGGCATCAATGATGGGATCCCTAAACCTGTCACCGTACCATCAATGAAGCTAGACGGCTAACTCACCCTATGGCCAGCAGGTTCTCGAAGTAGCACGGCCGCTGACCGGGGAGTCAAGGATGCAGTCCGCGGTAAGGGGTGGGAGTGAGGGGCGAGCCCAATTGACGATTGCATCACAGTGCAGCGCCCCCCCCTTACTGATACGCGGTTTATAATAGGCATGGCGGCATTGCACGTGAGCGATATATTGCGTGTTTGCAGTTGTCAGGCGTTCAAACAATTTGTCGCTCCTCTCGCGGGACTACTAGGTTATCACGCTGACCGAGGTTTCCCGCAGCGAATAATATTTCCGCTGCGAAACGCGGAGGCCACCGAATTTTTGGGAAGGTCCTGCTTTCTCTGTAATTAAGGACAAGTACGATGGAAGACCAGATGGGTGCCTCGACCCTTACTGCCGGAGGACTGTCGTCATTTGGGAGCACTTGGAAGTATGTAGCTACTGCACAGGTTGGTATTTGAATGTTGATGTCCTGATAGCTTATCATGCCTTGAATGGCCGCTGCTACATTTTCTGCAAACGTTTCCTATGCTGAGCCATTCTCAGCGATGACCATACAGCGATCGTCTTTGAGATGACGTAGGATACAGACCTCGGTCAGACTCGGCGATTGCGTCGCTGGACACCAGCGACGGAGCCGCCAGCGACGGAGCCGCCAGCGACGGAGCCGCCAGCGACGGAGCCGCCAGCGACGGAGCCGCCAGCGACGGAGCCGCCAGCGACGGAGCCGCCAGCGACGGAGCCGCCAGCGACGGAGCCGCCAGCGACGGAGCCGCCAGCGACGGAGCCGCCAGCGACGGAGCCGCCAGCGACGGAGCCGCCAGCGACGGAGCCGCCAGCGACGGAGCCGCCAGCGACGGAGCCGCCAGCGACGGAGCCGCCAGCGACGGAGCCGCCAGCGACGGAGCCGCCAGCGACGGAGCCGCCAGCGACGGAGCCGCCAGCGACGGAGCCGCCAGCGACGGAGCCGCCAGCGACGGAGCCGCCAGCGACGGAGCCGCCAGCGACGGAGCCGCCAGCGACGGAGCCGCCAGCGACGGAGCCGCCAGCGACGGAGCCGCCAGCGACGGAGCCGCCAGCGACGGAGCCGCCAGCGACGGAGCCGCCAGCGACGGAGCCGCCAGCGACGGAGCCGCCAGCGACGGAGCCGCCAGCGACGGAGCCGCCAGCGACGGAGCCGCCAGCGACGGAGCCGCCAGCGACGGAGCCGCCAGCGACGGAGCCGCCAGCGACGGAGCCGCCAGCGACGGAGCCGCCAGCGACGGAGCCAGCGACGGAGCCGCCAGCCACAAGAGTGGGCAACGGGCGATGACTCATCACACGATCGATCGATCACACTACTAATTTGTATGAAATTTTGGAATGTGGCACTTCGCTCGGCGACATAATAACTAGTCTTTTACATAATTAAGCTTAAGGTAAATTAGCGATCAGGACCTCTAAGTCTTTTCATAGTTTTAAGACACAATGAGGAGTTTGAACTATATCAAAATACTTTTGTACGTATGAACTTCTAGAGTTTTTAACCACCATCCCTTTGAAATCCGAGTTAGCCTTCCAAACGTTCAATTCGTTTCCCAACAATGTGTACTATGAAAGCTCTCATCTGTAGTTACATTTTGTCTATTGGTAAATGTCAACATCAGAAAGACAACTGCGTTTTCGAGGGAAATTTTGCATCTGTGCATTTGGTCGCGCCAAAAAGAGGCGCGGTCCCACGAGCACACTACGTCCAAATCCGCATTGTCGTCAAAGGATGTTAAATCTCCCCTGCCAACCGATATCGATCGTGTGATGAGTCATCCGCCGTTGCCCACTCTTGTGGCTGGCGGCTCCGTCGCTGGCGGCTCCGTCGCTGGCGGCTCCGTCGCTGGCGGCTCCGTCGCTGGCGGCTCCGTCGCTGGCGGCTCCGTCGCTGGGGTCCAGTCGACGCAATCGCCGAGTCTGACCGAGGGCTCACTGAAGATGGGTGGAGAATATGCCATAGGTGTCTGCACTGCAAATGGGTGTCATTAATCAATACATCAGATATCAACGGTGCTAACTTAGTTGGGGGGGGGGGGACCACGCGGCGGCGCGGCGCTCTGTTCGTCTGCTCCTCTAAGGCTTAGTCCAAGGGGCAGTTACTATTTCGTCGCCACGTGGCAGTTTCGAAATACGCGCCATCGGCGGACTAAGCCTTGGAGGAGCAGACGAACAGAGCGCCGCGCCGCCGCGTGGTCCCCCAACTAAGTTAGCACTATAAACAGCAGTTGCTGCTGAGCATTATTTGCATCTTTTTCATTAGCATGTAATTGAATAAACTGATTAACTAGGCGATAACTCCATATAAAACGCCTATAATGTTTAAAGAAATGAAAGAAGTCACCGATATCTTTCTGAGCGAAGAGAATGACTAGAGAATGATTCATTGTCAGCCGAAATAATTGGATTTTGGTGCTATTAGGTTGGGGGCAGGGTCAACCGTTACGTTGGACCGATATTGGAGCGACGTTGGACCGATGTTCACCGCTCTCCGCGCCGGCATTCACTCTCGCCACCCGCGAGCCGTCTGTGTCTCCGTGCGTACGTTCACTCTCGGCATTACTCTCGTCGTCGCGTTGGACTTTGTCCAACGGACGGTTGACTGGGGGGGGGGCGACCATGCGCGCGGCGCGGCACTCTGTTCGTCTTGCTCCTCCAAGGCTTACAAGGGACGTATTTCAGGTAAAGGCGCGCTTTTGGAAAGCGTCTTTATATATGCATGTTAGTAGGGATGCTTCGTTTTCGATGAACCGGTTTTAGTAGTACCAAAAAAGTGGTGAATAATACTCTTGATGGTTCAATCCCCCGCGGCGACTAAATTTTGCAATCAAGGTTGGCGGCCACTTGTTGGCTTCAAAATGGTCCTGACGATGAATTTGACATCTGATTTTGATATTTAGCGCGATTTGGCACCAAACCGTAGGCGCCAACCCAAATGCAAAATTTAGTCGCCACGGGGATCGAACCCTTAACAGTACCTTATGCTTCTTTTTTGGTACTGCTATAACCGTTCAGCGAAAATGAAACATGGTTTTGCGTTCAAAATGCCAAATCGTTTTGAAATTTCACGCGTTGCCCTGAAGACTCTGCATTAGTCCGGCAGGGTCGGTCCTATCGTTGCTACTTTTCAAAAAGTTTTCACGACCCCCCTCCCTCTTGAAATGTTTCATACGACCCCCTCTTTCAAAACAGGGTATACAGGGGGGGGGCAAAAAAAAAAGAGTCACTCCTACTCACATTCAAAACAGAATTAATTACACTTTGCCAAAACCAAACCGAATGAGCTCAATTGCATATTGAAGAGCACATTCTATTCTATCAAAAACATTGCATAGTGGCCTTCTAAACCGACGACACCAGAAGATTTTCCCACGGAAACATGGTTCGCGGTACGAGCTCAACGGGGTCGTCGAGAAACCATAGATGATTACGACGTCTCTGAAACGCTGGTCAAAAGCCATTTTGCATAGTCAGAGCTAGTGTCTCTAAGAAGTCATTCACCAGTTATCCGATTGAAGAATTTATGTAGCAGCTTCAGAATGGAGCGATTATTGTAGGCCTCCTTAAGCTCGACGGTGATGACAGATGACGTCATATTCTGGAGACGGTGAACGCAGCGAAGGTGGGCCTGATTCTGCTTTATGGGGGGACATCTATGGAATAAATTTCGATATAACTCCCAATGATAGCTTTGGGGCGACGCAAAGGGTTTGAATGATATCATCCACCTCGACACAAAGATCGCACTCTCTTTTTTTGTGGGCCCACACAAAAAATTTTATAGACGCGCTGAAACGCAAATTTTCTCCGCGCGTCCCACTCATACCACATGCACTTCTGTACAAGAAGCAAGTGAGTCCCCTCTACAACATACCACAAACATACACTCCCGGTTGCTATTTGTAGGGTTAGTACACATCAAGAAAGATTAGCACTCCGGTCACCCCCCCCGTGCAGTTACTATGTCGCACCACCCCCCTCACCCAACTTAAGCACCTATAAGACATACCCCCACAGTCCACTCGGCGGACCTAAGCTCTTGAGCAACAGCCGAGACACAAACTACACCAGCGTCGCCGGGTGAAAACTCCACCCACACACCCCACAAACAACCACAAACCACCACGCTCCTCACGAAACCCACACATCAAGACTTGCAGTAAGAGCCAATCGGAAATGTGATCGAATGCAGACAGGTTCGAAGGATAAGGGAGAAAGACGTAAAACTAAGCTAGATCAAAACCCGCAACCACCCACTGCACCAAATTTAGACCACATTAGTAAAGGTTCTAAGAATAGAGAGATAGAAGTTAATTACCTCGGAGAAGTTGGACGGAAATCCAAAGCAGCATAACAGAATGTTACTCGGTTGCGGTTCTAATTCTGACTGCAGTGGTCTTCTTCCCGTGGTAGCCAATACAGCTGTCTTATTATTATTGTCAGAAGCTCTCTCCATCATATACGTTGGGCGCTATGTCTTTGGGAGTAGGGAGGGGCATCAAAACGTGGTAATAAAATCCTAATCTGACAATAATTTATTTTGGTTATAATCCTGGAGTCGGAGAGGGGTTCGACAGGGCGACACCATCTCGCCCAAACTCTTCAGCGCCGCTCTCGAGAACGTCATGCGTCAACTGGAATGGGAAGACATGGTGAAGGTCGACGGCCGGCAACTACACCACCTTCGTTTTGCTGACGACATCGTTCTTATAACGCCGAACATCGAGCAAGCGGAGCGAATGCTGGCTGATTTCGACTGCGCCTGTGGTAAGGTTGGTCTACAGCTGAACCTAACGAAGACGATGTTTATGAGAAACGGATTGGTTCCTGATGCCCCATTCACGCTCAACGGAACGAACATCACCGAATGCTCCAGCTACGTGTACCTAGGTCGGGAAATCAATATGATGAACGATCTAGCTCCAGAGCTGAGCAGGAGGAAACGAGCGGCTTGGGGAGCGTACAAGAACATCGAGGGAGTAGTGAAGAAGACGAAGAACATCCGGCTCCGTGCCCACCTCTTCGATTCCGCTGTCCTTCCTGCCCTAACCTACGCCTCAGAGACTTGGACTCTGCGCAGGCAGGACGAGCATGCGGTCAGCGTTATCCAACGCGCTGTCGAGAGGACGATGCTAGGAGTAACCCTATACACGCAAGTGCAGAGGGGAATCCGGAGTTCGAACTACGCCAACGATCGAAGATCAGGGACGCTGCCGTTTTCGCCAAGGAATCGAAGATAAGGTGGGCCGGACACGTCATGCGATTTTGCGATGACCGTTGGACCAGAGCGGTTACCGACTGGATCCCTCGGGACGTCAAACGAACACCTGGACGACCGCCGGCCCGATGGTCAGACTTCTTCACGAAAGCTCTGAACGAAAGGAATGAAGGACTTCGTGTCCCTCGAGCGAGGAGGATCCACTGGACAACTCTGCACGCGACAGGGACGAATGGAGACGTTGCTGGCGCCCGCTCGAGCAAATCGACGATCAACGGGACGACAGGTGATACAGGTGATATGCGCCTGGAATAAGTGATTCTACCTCCAGGAGAAAAACCCGACTTCCAGCGCATCGCTCTCTCGTTTGCACTCCCTCGGCAAGGTGGTTAATGTTTCGGTGTCCAGTTCACATGAGTCGCTCTAGTACAGGTTTCAAATTGCTGATGCTTCATTGCCACGCCATTCCTGAATTTATCACATTTCGAGAGTTTCTTTTTTGTACTGGATGTCTCGTTTTTCATGCATTATACGCACCCGCATGGGATCCCAGCTATGTTAGCACCGAAGATTTTTAGATTTTTAGAAGGGGATTGCGGGGTGAATGTAGAAATGTCTTCTCAGCAAAGGAATAAGAACCACGTTCATCTCTGGACCGTGTAGTGATTGTGGATTCTGGCTCCGCTCAGTTTGGCTCATGCCCCACCCTAGGATCACTTATGCCTTCTCATAACCAACCGTTTTCCACTTTTCCCAGTTTCTGGACTTTCCCTGAACCAATTTATAAGTTTCATGGGTAACACCACCCATTTGACCGCATGTCCAGCCCATCAACAGCATCTCACCTTTTTTCTCTGACCAATTTTACACACTTTTTCCCTGGCCTTTTCATGTGCTTTCAACCGACCTATAAGTTTTTTGGGAAAACACGTGCACTTCGGTTACGCCAGGCCAACAATTGTCATTTGTCTTTCCCTCCTTCCCTGATCTTCATCTCCTGTCCCTTCATCCATATGTCTCTGAACTCTTAACCGTATTGGGATGGTTTGGCCTTATACCTTGCCTTCCTAAACCAATTTTTCTGGAGAATAGGCTTTCTCCTAATCTTGTTACCAACTTTAGACTGATCACCGTTTTCTTAGAGAAGGCCCCGCCCAGGTGGGTCCTTGATTCGATCTGGCTT